AATAGAGTTCAATAATGTTTTAAAAATTCTAGTAAGATATCTTTAATCATTTCTAAGATACAACGTTTCACAATTTAATATTGCTTTTATACGATTTGGACAATTCTGCTGTTATACTCGCACATATATATATATATATATATATATATATATATATATATATATATATATATATATATATATATGATGACTGACACTTCTTTACAGAAGAATGCAATCTCTACAACATTGTGTTGTGTTGCCATGGGCCGGAGATGACTTTGCAAATCAGCATCACTCCTACACACGTTTTTACATATGTAGCGTCGAGAAAAACTTTTGAACCATCTTGAAATGTGTCGCTTCAGCCCAGGGCAAACTACATTTTATCACTGATACGGCATATATACCTTGCAGGTCTGTCAGGAAGAATGTACATATAATCAGCATCAGGCTGCCGATTTTCAAGTGATTGTGGGCGACTAGCGACAACCTACCCTCGGATATTACATAGTTCAGACTACTTACGTATCAGTTATATATTGGAGTTGCTTCAGTATTATTCAATCTTGACTAAAATATATACTTCTTTTTCTTTTTGGATATTTATATGCATACTTCATCTTCTAATATAGGAAACAAAGGAAAATTATTTATGTAATTTATTCAAATTTTTGAAGCTCTTAAATTATGTCAAGAGAATCAAAACAAAAATTGATCATCTTATTTCTAAACAAAATTTTTAAACGTAAAAATATATTCTTAAAAATATGTCATTTTATTGTGTATGTTTAGCAGAAAGGTTTTTTTTTTTATAAAATTATGAATGAAATCTGACTTTATTTAGCCAGTAAAACTTCATTCATGTCAAAATTCCTTCACTCTCAGAATAAATGCATTCATTTAGGGTGAATCACCTAACAAACTCAAGAAGCACGTGATTAAAAAGCAGAGACGTTGAAAGACAAAAATACTACGTCTCATATTATTTAGTCATCTTTATTTATCTTTTTATCAATAAAGAAAATAAATATTTACTGTAATGTAAAGGTTTATTGAACGATGCAATATTTAACCGCTCAGTACAAAATTAAAAGAAAAAAACATTCCATTCTGCGCAAATGAAAAATAGCAGCAATTTGTATGAAATGTCCTGAATTTATATATTTCAAAATACTAATAATGTTAGTATGATTCTAAAGTGAGGTGATCTGCGGGTGGTGTAATGGATAATGTCTCTGAATTAGAAATTAGAGTTCTGTGTTCGAGTTCAAGTCGGATTCATTTTACTCATTAACGCACAAATACGCTTGGGAACGTCATGAAACTTCCTCTACCAACTATGGGTTAAATAGTAGTAGTATTATTTTCAAAAGAATTGTTACTGAAATATTCAGTCTCAAAAATATTATTACAATTTAAAATACGGTTCTGCTTTAAATAACCCACAACGTATCCATAAGCCGTAAATAAATAATTAAATAAATAAATCTAAAATGAGTCGTAAGATTTATATAAAACAAAGAAAGAAATGTATGCTAAATCCGTAATATGCAAATAGTAACAAAATGCTGGAATTTGTGCAACTCTTCCTGGGTTACCATCTAAAGTGTGTTTCAATAACTTGGACCGAATTTAAATTTGAATTCAGTTTAAATGTCTAAAAGACTTTGGCAATTTCAATCATGGAATCATTAACAGACAAACAACGTGGTAAAGTTATTGAATCTTATTAAAAAAAAACGGGCCTTAAATCAGAAATGCAATCGGATCGCATCATCTCTCGGAATTGTCCAGAACGATCGTGCGACTTGACGCCTTTAGATTTCTTCCTTTGGGGTCATCACAAAATTAAGGTCTATGCCAACTACGATTCAGCAGCTGAAGGATGAGATAATAAAGCATATTAATGAGATCGTGGAGCAACTATGCAGGGACGTCCTCAAAATGTTTTACCATCAAGTGGAGGTGTGCTGACGAATCCTTGGCAGACATTTGGGCTGCATTATTTTTCACACATAATTGCCATGACTTGAATAACATGATCCAATTTTTCACGAATAACACTGATTTATTTACTGCTGACTCTGATCCGTCTTAATGAAGCACCCTTACATTTATAATCCCTCTTAATGAAATACCCTTTAATTTCATCCGTTTTCTTCTGTGGTACGAAAGAACGATATTGTGTGTAATGGCTGAAAACCTTCTCACCGGATAAGATGTCAAAATGGTAAAGGCAGTGTTATATTGCAATTATAGGTAGTGAAGCCATTAGCTCATAGCAATTTTAAGACTGTTTTAAAATGAAATCGCCAACAAACATTTATTTTTTGAAGGTACGCTCTCGATCAATATGTAGCTTAATGTTTTCGAAAATGCAGCATCATAGTTTACGAAAACAAATGCAATCATACGGCCACATCACATTGAAACACCTGTTCCCGTACGATCACCGAAGATAAGCAATGCCGAGCCTGGTCTACAGCTGGATGAATGATCGCTTGGGAATGCCAGGTGACATAAGCTGTGGTGTGCGGGTGGTGCAGTTGATATTGGCTCAGAATTATTATATCGGGGAGATAGAATCCAATTCCAGTTGGGTTCATTATATTACCTTACTTTCAAATACGCTTTAGGAGAGGTAGATGTCCATTTCTTGTTCCCCAAGCTATTTACTAATTAGGAATACTTGTATCATTAAATCCTTATTACTTTAAAATAAATGAATAAATAAATAACATCTAAAATATTTCTGGCTAGAAATAACCTGCAAATGGTTGATAAACCGTAAAGAATCAATCAAGAATACGAATACATATTTGAATTAATTATTTTTTATCAGTTAATGTTATGGTAATTACCACGCACGCATGGACTCCCCCAGCTACAAATAAGAGCAGGTATTGCCTTTTTAAGAGCGAAATTTTCAGCAGTCAGCTCTGACAGCCGGACCGAATATTCTTGCTGTAACACTCTCGTTTGTATATGGTTGTGTTACTGTTTCTGTTAATATATTTGTTTAACTCAATTCCTCTCTTTGTGTCTTTATTTCTGGCCCCAACAGTTAACTTCTTCTCCAGACTGAAGTCTTGAGACTCATTTCAAAGAATGAAATTTATATTGGCTGACAGCGAATTACGAGATGAGTTGTAGAATACTATTCTGAATACTGTGTCGTCTGTTTCAAATAAAGAAATAAAAGAACTAACAAAACCAATGTAATAACGACGTCCTAAACAAATTTCCCATTAACTTTTCGTTTATGAAATTGTTGAAACTTGACTAATGCATGGAATAATAATGCAACACAAAATGTACTTAGAACAAAATGTATTGAAACAAGAAAGTGTACACAATATTTACATATAGTCTTTTGTATATTCCTAGTAAGACCGTTCCTGGAGAATGTGTTGACTGGGTCGTAGTCGGGCAGAGTCTCTGGTTGAATCTCTTGATTCCTCACTCTCTTCCCGGTACCAACCATATTTATATGGTTGGTACTCCACTATGTAAATTAGGTGGATCCTACCACAACAGAAATTATCGTCACTGTTTAAAATTTTTTAAGATTCTAGTTTAAAATATCTATTTTTTCGGGTTCAGTCACTTTCCGACCTTAGTAATATCGCTTTCCTGGGCCTTTTCTATAAATACTTTCATGGTTATTCTTCTGATGAACTCTCTTCCACGGAACTTGCAACAAAAGGAATTCGGTAGGGACGAGAAGTTTACATCTTCCCAACTGATAAGCATAAGCCTAAAGTTAAGATTAGGACAGAAAGATTACGATTCCATCCATCAGAATTTAGCGAAATGTGGGTGAGATTTGTGTCGAGTGAAAAGAGCTGATTAGAGTGGCATTTTGATACCTAATTAGAATCAATATCTCTTCATTTTGCAATTGACAACACTTTCTTTTCATAGATTTCCCATTTATGGAACTCTCAACCGGTTTCTTGCTTTCCAGCTAATTTGATATGCAAAAATTTTAATGTAATCTCAATTCTTAGCTTTTGTTCTTTTATTGTTCTTGCTCCGTAATTTTCTTTTATTTTTCTTATATTCTTTCATACTCACTATCTCTCTACACTTCAATGGCTTTTCTGTTTTGCTTTCAGGGAAGTGATTAAAAAAGTAACTGTCTATTTATGTCCAAATTTCTCTTTACAAGAAGCAAATGAAATTACAAATTGAGTATTACAACTGAGTTTGGTATGCTGAAGTCATACTTTTATATATTGACAGAGTCCAAAATCATTCATATGCTCCTTGTGAAATACTTATTTTCCACTTATAACCACTCTTTTCTCAGACGCAACAGTGCAAAACTATCGAAACTATCGTTATTTCCATAGCAAACATTTAGATGAACGTTATTTATTAGTTCCACCTGATCAGAACTTCACGTCTAGGGCTCGACATGTTACGTACACGGAATCGAAGGATCCTCATTTCTTCCGTCTTCCTAGTAGAAGAAAACTTTTCCCAAAGAATGACACTTTATGGAACAGACTCCAACGTTGTAAAATCCTTAAACGCGTCAATGTTCAATGTTAAATTCAACGGTCAATTGTAATCTTTTCTCATTTTCCTAGTACCGTCCCCATCATTTATATCACTCATTTCATCAGCATGTTGTTGACTGTAACTTCATCATGTGAGGCTCTTGGGCCTTGCATTAGTTGAACTTTAGTATATAAAAATATACTTTCAAAAGTGGGAATATTTCAGCAATTGCTTTCACTCTTGTATTTTACATGTCGGATCAACAGTTGGGCTTTCATGGCTATTCACATCTCCCTATCCTTCGTAGTTCTAAGAAATATTTATGCTATCCATTTACATAAACTCATTTGGTGGGTTACACTCTGTTTCCCTCTTACCCTTTTGCCTCCAATATGTTCTGCGTGCGTAGAAATCCCCAAGTCCCTTTTACTTCATTTTGTCCTTTACATTATCTTTGATTTTGTGTATAAATGTCTTTTTTATTAATTTGTTGTTCACTTAATCTCTCTATGACATTTTGCCAGAAAATAGTTTCGAGTGTCCCAGCTTTCCAAAGTAAGTTTTCCTAGCATTTGAAATCGTGCGCAGAGTGTGGAACAGTTAAAGTGCCGAACTGAGTTGAAGTTGAACTGGCTAAATAACAAGAGGCCAGAAATCTACCTACAGCAGAACACATTGTACTTAGCATGCAAGTATCCTGCTGGTAAAATTTTAAACTAATATAAAAACCCCTGATGAAAAAAGAATTTCTATATAATTGTTAAGTTTTTGACCATTATATATTATGTTGGCTTAATCATATTTAAGTCTATTATTTATTAAATGATGCCAAAGCTATGCAATAAAAACTTTATAATAATTCAATTGATAATTTGAATCGATTTTTTAAAATCATAATGATATGTTCGTTTTTACATTTTCAAACTTTGTCTTTTCAAGATTATGTCCATTTGATATTGAGTCAGTTCGACTCTTTTTTCCGTTTGACCCTTTGTCTATTCAATATTTCGTTCAACACTTTGTCCATTCTTTATTTTGGCTTCCGACATTTTGTCTTTCATTTCATTCTCCTTCGACACTCTATCCAACTACCGTTGAAATCGTTCCTTGTGTCTTATTATTAAATGCGTGTGCATAGTCTTTGAAACAGGTCTGAATCCTTATGTACTGTATTGCACTGTTTGATATCAGCTTTGGAATTTTTATAAGTGGATAAATATGTGAGACATAATGCAGATGAGTACGGTGCTTTGTTTCAGGAATAATCTTAAAGACAAGTGTATATGTCGTGCTAAAAAGATTAGTGAGAAGGAATTTGAGAAATAACCTCGAAACAAAAATCTGACCAGCATTGATTCTTTGATTCTTCAGTGAGATTGGTTTTTATATCCAGAAACTCATCGCCTAATCCCTCCAGGATTTTCTCTTGTTGCCTTGTCTGCAAATTTTGCCGCTGGTTCTTGGTGACTTGGCTTTTTTTTCTACATTTTTATCATTATTTTATTGCTTCTTCAGCCTTTCAAATCTTTGAACATTTTAATCTTTTTTATTATTTAATCCAGAATCGCCCAACATTACTTTGTTTTCTACGTTCACCTTTCTTTACACGCCATTCCATCTTTGTAACATGAGAATATATACATATCTGTCCGGGCTGTATAAAGGCATCCATAGTATATGAGGCTGTAAGTAAAATAATGTCCGATTTGAGAATCCGCATTTATTCCTGAATTAAGGTATTTAATCAGAGTTTAAATACGTTAAGAAAGGAAACCTGAACATCTATATATTTCTGCCATCAAGTTACAAGATTATTTATTAACGATAAAACTATAAAGAAATTTTTGAATAAAGTTTCTGCATATTTCTTTCAACGTCTTTTAGCTTAACATCTTTACAAGATGATTCAAAAATCGTAGTTAGTGGGCGAAAGATCAGGGGAATATGGTGAATGTGACAAATCTCGCAATTTGCTTAACTGAATATCCAGTTCCTCCTGTTGCTGGCAGTAAACTTCCTCAGGGGTGCTTCGGTTAGATTTCACAAAGCTGTAATGGCTAAAGCTAACGACAGGGAACCAAACAGCATAATCTTCTGTTGGTGAATCTTCGGTTTGAGTAAGTGAATATGTCCTTTGTCGCGATTAAGCCATCGTGCCGAGTACTTCTGATTGCCTTAAAGGATCCATTTCTCATCACGTGTCACTAATCGATCAAGAAATGGATTACTAGAATGTTGCAGATGCAGCAACACACGTACACTTCAAAACATCGAACTCCACTGAGTTCATATGGACCATATTTATCGAAGGTCTTAATCTAACCAATTTGCAGATGGTTGGCTATTGTGGAAATGCTGACACCCATTATCAAAGACATTTCTTTGACAATTTGACATCTGGATTATCAGGGCTCGCATAGCAACTGAAAATCTTCAGAAAGCAACTCCGTAACCTCCCATCTAAATTGGATCCTTCGGTCCAAGACCTTAAAATATTGGTTGTCATTTGTTAAGAATTATGAACAAGCATCGATTTAAATGCTTCTCTTTTTTCATGTTTAAGACGTGGGGTATATCTTTTTAATTCTAAAAGAGTTTTATTATTAGTGAATTTCTGCAGTGTATTGTCATGAAGTAGAATTGGACATCGTCGATTAACCAATGCCGATCCGATTTTGCTTAATTGAATGTGTATTTTATCCACTTGCTGGTCGTAAACCTTGGAAATGACGAAATGGTTATATTCCAGAAAAGTATAATGATAACGTCAATGGCGAACTACCAGACAGTCACTATAAATTTGTGTTAGTGAAATTGCGATTTTCAAAATAGTTTGGGAGCTTCGTCATGGTCAAGCCATCGTTTACGATTGTCATACAAGATCTATTTCTCAGCAACAGTCACAAATCGACCAAGAAATGGATCATTCGATTATCGCAGAGGCAGCATCGAACATACTTCAAAACATCGAATTATTTGACTCTCACTTATTGTAAAACTCATTCATCTAGT